ATATATATATATATATATATATATATATATATATATATATATATATATATATATATATATATAGGAATATATATATATATATAGGAATATATATATATATATATATATATATATATACACTCACTGGCCACTTTATTAGGTACCCCATGCTAGTAACGGGTTGGACCCCCTTTTGCCTTCAGAACTGCCACAATTCTTCGTGGCATAGATTCAACAAGGTGCTGGAAGCATTCATCAGGGAGTTTGGTCCATATTGACATGATGGCATCACACAGTTGCAGCAGATTTGTCGGCTGCACATCCATGATGCGAATCTCCCGTTCCACCACATCCCAAAGATGCTCTATTGGATTGAGATCTGGTGACTGTGGAGGCCATTTGAGTACAGGGAACTCATTGTCATGTTCAAGAAACCAGTCTGAGATGATTCCAGCTTTATGACATGGCGCATTATCCTGCTGAAAGTAGCCATCAGAAGTTGGGTACATTGTGGTCATAAAGGGATGGACATGGTCAGCAACAATACTCAGACAGGCTGTGGCGTTGCAACGATGCTCATTTGGTACCAAGGGGCCCAAATAGTGCCAAGAAAATATTCCCCACACCATGACGCCACCACCACCAGCCTGAACCGTTGATACAAGGCAGGATGGATCCATGCTTTCATGTTGTAGACGCCAAATTCTGACCCTACCATCCGAATGTCGCAGCAGAAATCGAGACTCATCAGACCAGGCAACGTTTTTCCAATCTTCTATTGTCCAATTTCGGTGAGCTTGTGCAAATTGTAGCCTCAGTTTCCTGTTCTTAGCTGAAAGGAGTGGCACCCGGTGTGGTCTTCTGCTGCTGTAGCCCATCTGCCTCAAAGTTCGACGTACTGTGCGTTCAGAGATGCTCTTCTGCCCACCTTGGTTGTAACGGGTGGTTATTTGAGTCACTGTTGCCCTTCTATCAGCTCGAACCAGTCTGGCCATTCTCCTCTGACCTCTGGCAACAACAAGGCATTTCCGCCCACAGAACTGCCGCTCACTGGATGTTTTTTCTTTTTCGGACCATTCTCTGTAAACCCTAGAGATGGTTGTGCGTGAAAATCCCAGTAGATCAGCAGTTTCTGAAATACTCAGACCAGCCCTTCTGGCACCAACAATCATGCCACGTTCAAAGTCAGTCAAATCACCTTTCTTCCCCATACTGATGCTCGGTTTGAACTGCAGGAGATTGTCTTGACCATGTCTACATGCCTAAATGCACGGAGTTGCCGCCATGTGATTGGCTGCTTAGAAATTAAGTGTTAACGAGCAGTTGGACAGGTGTGCCTAATAAAGTGGCCGGTGAGTGTATATATATATATATATATATATACACTATATTGCCAAAAGTATTTGCTCACCCATCCAAATTATTGGAATCAGGTGTTCCAATCACTTCCATGGCCACAGGTGTATAAATTCAAGCACCTAGGCATGCAGACTGTTTTTACAAACATTTGTGAAAGAATGGGTCGCTCTCAGGAGCTCAGTGAATTCCAGCGTGGAACTGTGATAGGATGCCACCTGTGCAACAAATCCAGTCGTGAAATTTCCTCGCTCCTAAATATTCCACAGTCAACTGTCAGCTGTATTATAAGAAAATGGAAGTGTTTGGGAACGACAGCAACTCAGCCACGAAGTGGTAGGCCACGTAAACTGACGGAGCGGGGTCAGCGGATGCTGACGCGCATAGTGCGAAGAGGTCGCCAACTTTCTGCAGAGTCAATCACTACAGACCTCCAAACTTCATGTGGCCTTCAGATTAGCTCAAGAACAGTGCGCAGAGAGCTTCATGGAATGGGTTTCCATGGTCGAGCAGCTGCATCCAAGCCATACATCACCAAGTGCAATGCAAAGCGTCGGATGCGGTGGTGTAAAGCACGCCGCCACTGGACTCTAGAGCAGTGGAGACGCGTTCTCTGGAGTGACGAATCGCGCTTCTCCATCTGGCAATCTGATGGACGGGTCTGGGTTTGGCGGTTGCCAGGAGAACGGTACTTGTCTGACTGCATTGTGCCAAGTGTAAAGTTTGGTGGAGGGGGGATTATGGTGTGAGGTTGTTTTTCAGGAGCTGGGCTTGGCCCCTTAGTTCCAGTGAAAGGAACTCTGAATGCTTCAGCATACCAAGACATTTTGGACAATTCCATGCTCCCAACTTTGTGGGAACAGTTTGGAGCTGGCCCCTTCCTCTTCCAACATGACTGTGCACCAGTGCACAAAGCAAGGTCCATAAAGACATGGATGACAGAGTCTGGTGTGGATGAACTTGACTGGCCTGCACAGAGTCCTGACCTCAACCCGATAGAACACCTTTGGGATGAATTAGAGCGGAGACTGAGAGCCAGGCCTTCTCGTCCAACATCAGTGTGCGACCTCACAAATGCGCTTCTGGAAGAATGGTCAAAAATTCCCATAAACACACTCCTAAACCTTGTGGACAGCCTTCCCAGAAGAGTTGAAGCTGTTCTAGCTGCAAAGGGTGGACCGACGTCATATTGAACCCTATGGATTAGGAACGGGATGTCACTTAAGCTCATATGTGAGTCAAGGCAGGTGAGCAAATACTTTTGGCAATATAGTGTATATATATATATATATATATACACACACACACACACTTGTATAGAAACCTGAGTGGGGACCCTTTTTCCAATTTCTCCATGACAATGAGGACCACTTGTTGTCAAGTAGGGACATTTTGCTGGCCCCCACAAGGTAGGTGTGGTTTTAGGGTTAGGACATAGAAAGGGTTGAAAATGACTGAAAATCAATGGAATGGTAAACTTCCTGTACTTATATAGTGCTTTATAGCTCCAAAGCGTTTTACACTACATTCACCCATTAACGCACACACTCACACACTGAGGGTGACCATCTACATTGTTCAGTCTTTTCCAAAAGTATTGAGAATGACACAAATATTATATTTCCACATTATCTGCTGCCCTCTTGTTTTCATGGGTGTATGTCAGATTTTGTCATCACATACAGAAATATAATTGAAATCATATTGTGAGTAACAAAAGCTTTTAATGACAGAATAAGTTAATGCAGCAAGTTAATATTTGCAGTGTTGACCCCTCTTCTTCAGGACCTCTGTAATTCTCCCTGGCATGCAATGCTTGCATTTTGTCAGAATTCCTAGGTTTTCATTTGTCCACCCGTCTCTTGATGATTGACCACAAGTTTTTAATGGTATTAAGATTAGGCGAGTTTCCAGGCCATGGACCCAAAATCTCTATGTTTTGTTCCGTGAGCCAGTTAGATATCACCTTTGCTTTATGGCAAGGTGCTCCATTATGCTGGAAAAGGCATTGTTCATCACCAAACTGATCTTGGACGGTTGGGAGAAGTTGCTCTCGGAGGACATTCTGATACCATTCTTTATTCATGGCTGTGTTTTCAGGTAAGACTGTGAGCGAGCTGACTCCCTTGGCTGAGAAGCAACCCCACACATGAATGGTATCAGGATGCTATACAGTTGGCATGAGACAAGACTGGTTGTAGCGCTCACCTCGTCTTCTCCCAACAAGCTGTTTTCCAGATGTCCCAAACAATCGGAAAGGGGATTCATCAGAGAAAATGACTTTACCCCAGTCCTCAGCAGTCCACTCCCTGTACCTTTTGCGGAATATCAGTATGTCCCTGATGTTTTCCTGGAGAGAAGTGGCTTCTTTGCTGCCCTCCTTGAGACCAGGCCTTGCTCCAAGAGTCTCCACCTCACAGAGCATGCAGATGCACTCACACCTGCCAGCTGCCATTCCTGAGCAAGCTCTGCACTGCTGGTAGCCCGAACCCTGCAGCTGAAACACTTTTAAGAGACATCCTGGCGCTTGTTGGACTTTCTTGGGCGCCCTGGAGCCTTTGGCAACAATGGCACCTCTCTCCTTGAAGTTCTTGATGATGCGATAGATTGTTGACTGAGGTGTAATCCTTCTAGCTGCAATTCTCTTTCCTGTTAGGCAATTTTTGTGCAGTGCAATGATTACTGCACGTGTTTCTTTAGAGATAACCATGGTTTACAGAGGAGAAACAATAATGCCAAGCACCAGTCTCTTTTTAAAGTGTCCAGTGGTGTCATTCTTACTTAATCATGACAGATTGATCTCCAGCCCTGTCCTCATCACCACCCACACCTGTGTTAATGGAGCAATCACTGAAATGATGTTAGCTGCTCCTTTTAAGGCAGGGCTGCAATGATGTTGAAATGTGTTTTGGGGGATAAAGTTCTAGATAAAGTTCTAGGAAAATTGACTTTGCAATTAATTGCTGTTACGCTGATCACTCTTTATAGCATTCTGGAGTGTATGCAGATTGCCGTCATAAAAACTGAAGCAGTAGACTTTGTAAATATTAACATTTGAATCTTCTCAAAACTTTTGGCGATGACTGTAGACATCATTAGGCAATGCAGGTGAAGTGTCTTGCCCAAGGACAGAACGATACTGAAAGACTTCGATGCCAACTACACAATGATGATATAAATAAAAAACCCATCTGACTTTTGCGTTCTCTGTGTGCAAGGTAGGCTATGTCAGTTTGCTCTAGACAATTTCATTTTTTTAAACGCAGCCTTGGAAAACAGTAATAAATACAAACATATGACTGTATATTTACAGTTCTAACTTTCATTTTTTTTTACCTCATCAATTTACCATGAATAATTTTTAACCTTAAATTATTACAACCTTTTTAATCCTTACCTTAAGTGCTATCACCAAGCACATTTATTAAACCCTTCAGTATAGTATTTTATAATGCCTTACACCATGCAATAAAAGAAAATGCATAATAATGTGACTTCACATAGGATTCACAATGTTGGAGTAAAATAAATACTTTGGTTGAATATAAGACACAGAAACCTTTTAGATCCGCGCGTTGTATTAACAGCAGTAGTCCAGCAGGTGTCGTCATTTCCCCGTTACAATCAAAGCTCCAAAGACACACCTCCTCCTCCTCCACCTCCTCCTCTCCGCATAGCGCTGCTGTTATTGCTGCAGCTGGTTTCAGGAAGCGGAAGCTGGAATGTTGGAGTGTTTTTTAGAAAAGTTTGGACACTTTTTGACAGTTTGAGCCCAGACTCGATTGAACTGCGGAGGAACGTGACGGTGAGTGAGCGTGAGGGTCTTCTATGGCTGCAGCCTTCGCTGCAGGAAGGTTTGCGTCTCTGTCTGTGTGGAGGGTTTTAAACTGCTGTCAGCGTGCCCTTCGAGCAAGGCAGCTGAAACAGCAGGGTGGGCTGACAGTGAAGGAAAAAAAAAAAAAAGTTAAATATTCCTGTGGGTGGATATGATATAAAGGAACTGATGTTTGTAGGAAGTATTGGTACTTGTAATTGGTGGTGTTTCTGTGTTTATAGTTACATGTGGGTTATTGATCAACATGCTGCAAGGCTCAACCGGAGAAGTGCATGCTGACACGGGGAACTCTTCCTGTTCTTGTGTGTAAATTTGCTCCAAAACGCGGTTTTAATGCCTACAGACATTTAGATGATACATCTATCAGACTAAACTATATCATCATAAAGCCAAGGTTTGTTTAAGAAAATGAGAACATCAAAGTTCTCATCTAAGATGCTTTTTTACTCTGGAGTCATTTGTGAATAGAGCACACCTGGTAGTTTGTGTTATTTAATTGCATATAATGAACAGATTTAAATACTTGCGTAAGAGGGGTTTGTGTTTAGGGGGATGTTCTCCTATTTCTGTCATTTTTTTCAAAAGTTTACAAAACACACTTTCATCACATATTTTAATGTAGGCTTACTTGCAAACTGAAATTCAATTCAGTTAATTATTTTATAGCGCCAATTCACAGCACATGACATCTCAAGGCACTTTATAGTTCAACCCGATCATACAGTCAGATTGATTCCAAGTTTTCTATCTAAGGAAAACCTGTTTATTGCATCCACTCATTGACTGGGAGAAAGGCAATCCCTCACACTAAGCATGCTTTTAGCGACAGTGGAGAGGAAAAACTCCCTGGTAACAGGAAGAAACCTCCAGCAGAACCAGGCTCAGTGTGAGCGGCCTGTCACTACCCGATCCGTCCCAGAAGCACGATCCGTTCTGCGCATGCGCGAACAGATGCACATCCGGGTTACTGTAAATACTGTGATTATGGTACTAAAACTACTTATTTCTATACTCAACTCTCTAAAGAATGCTAATGCAAATCTTTAAATAATGTTTTATGAATTTTGTTAGACAATTTTAATGCTTTTTACATTTTTTTCGTTAAACTGCTTCACTGGCATCATCATCAGACATGCTCAAAGCAGTCCGGCAAAATATGGTTAAACCATGTTTATCTGCATTTTAGCTGTTTCTTTCTTTAGATTAAGCATTATATACCATAAGGTTAACACAAAACTCAAAAAGACTAGATCAATGTTTAAATCCAAAGCTGAAGAAGTTTGCTACTGGTAGTAGCGTAGGATCCCGTTTCCGTCGCAGATCAGGCAGAGACGAGTGATAAAACAGGATTTTAAGGCCTTTAATTTCTCAGGAAATACATCATTAACCTTTAACACGTTATATTTGAGTACGTTTACTATTTTGGGGGAGGGGAAACGTCATTTAGTTATTTTTAACAAAATAAAAACGAGGACGATCCAGATGTATATCTGCATGCGGAAGCACAAATTAGCTGACAGCGCATGCGCAGAACGGATCGTGCTTGAGGGATGGATCGGGTAGAGACACGGCCATCTGCCGAGGCTGACTATGTTCAAGCAGACAGTAGCAGACATAGAAAAAGAAGCATAGATACAAAGGAAACAGTAAACCAGCTTCACAGGCGGCCCTGTGCAGAAAACACAGATGTTTTAATGTAGAAGGTTTGTAAGTGCATATTTAACAACAATGAATTTACCTTTATTAGCAGTAATATTACTAATAACCCTACATATATATCATCTTGCTTGGTTTTAGTTGGCTTTATATATGATCAATATGCCCCTATATTCGTTTTTTTATTTGTGAATGCCTGTGCTCTGAGATTCTCACTGCACATATTCAGATTGTTTGCCAAACTGCTGATTTTTAAGGGCAGCTGTTTTTCTTGTCCTAAAAAAACAGATGGAAATAGTAAGAATATGAAGTTCATGACGCCCATGCTGAACAGACGCCTACCTTCAAAGAGCTGCCTAAACCAAAGACCTTGTTGAACGGGTTTTATTGCTTTAAAATTTTAAATAATTATTTAATTATTTTTAATCTCAGAGCCATGTGTCTTGCAAATTAAAAACATTCCTCCGCATTAGTCTCTAATCATGTAGTTCAAGAATAAAACGGAAAAGTTGAATTGAAAACTAAGGACGATTTATTGGGACTTTTCATTTATCTTTTTTAAAGTTCTACATGTAAATGTGTGCAAAGCCTTAACCTTTAGGTTGTTTTTTTAAATTATAAAATAACAAAGTAACATGTAAAGAAGCTATCTAAGTTTTATCTAATCAGTCTGCAGGAATTCACTCATAAATGTTAAGGATGCTTTTTTTACGTAACATCTTCTCTAAACCGTGCAATTAAAGCTTTGTTATTCTTTTCGTCTTTCTCCACTTATATTCTTTTCATGCCTTGAGCTGGTTTAGGTGCTAGCATCTAGGTGCTTTTTTGATATGACTTGTTGATATCTTTTTATAATTTTAAGCCCTCCGCTGTGCTTTGAGGGTCCAAATTATGGATAGCTGATGCGCCGTGTTCTACTCGGGTCTCTCCCACATGAACGGGGGATGATTGTCATCTTTGCCTGCCCTAAACACAAAGGAGAGTTCACATTGATTTCCTTTTCTGTGTTGGATCCATATTAGTTGTTTTTTTCCCCCCCTTTTTAAAAAAAACTTTACACATCTGCTGAAACTAATTTAATGCAATGATCGAACCATTATCCTATCTGTTATTTTTATACACTTTTCTAAGGTACACATTGTGTGGCCGCTTCTAATATAACCTTTTACTGCTGTAAACACCACAATTTCCCCATTGTGGGACAATAAAGGACTTTTCTATTCTATTGTATTATGATAGAATTCAACCTATAAATGGTGCTAAACGGCTCTGTTAATGGTGGGAAACCAGTTTAAGTGAGATTCTTGTGTCCTGGATAAAGGAAAATGATTAAATGAATCATCTGAGAACAGATTCTCCTTCAGTTCCTAGAAGAAAAGGTAATTTATGATGGACCCCTGCTTCCCTCAGGCTCCATGCATACGCCTAGATCTCCTGTGCGTCTGTTCTCATTGCTCATCAGCAGCATTTGATAAAAACAGATCTCAGTCTGCTTCCTAGATGTGTTATTAAATCCTATCCACTGTGATATCACAGAGAGGTTGTTTGAATTGTGTCGCCTGACAGCTGCAGCTGCAGCTGTAGCTGCGCCATAAACTTAGTGAAGGATTTATTGGGAAAATTATCTGATGGCACATGGGGAAAAAGCCAAACCCTGGAAGTCTTCAGAGAAAATACCTGCTGTAAAACAAAAGACTTGATGAAAAGAGCCGATTCATGCTTGTGGTTCACACTAGTTTTTTATTTTCTTTTTAATGAAGATGCTTCCTCTTCCTCTTCTAAAATTGAACTCTATAAGTGGATTTTTTCCCCCGGTTATTAAACTTATATTTGTTCTGTCTGTGTAATGGAAACAGCTCTGACATGTGGGCTTATCGATGAAGCCATATTTGTTTAGCAGGGTTTCTGAAGGTTACTGCCACTGGAACAGTTTAAAAGGGAACAGACTAACAGTAAAACAGTCTGAGAATAACACACAGAAGAAATAAGCTCAATGATTACTGGTCACTGTTTTCGTTTCATTTTAATCCACATATTTATTTAAAAAAATCCAGATTAAATCTGTCGCTTCATTCTAGCATTAGATGAGGTGCAATGTTTTGCCAAAAAAAAAATTTAAAGCAAAGATAAATATTTAAACAATTGGATGTTAATGGCAGGAAAAAAAGAATAATTCAACTCTTTGAACATTTTAGTTGGAGTTGCAGCTCCTGTTGAATTTAATACCCACATTTGATGTCTTATTAATTAAATATGTCAGTAATTTATGCAGTTGGAGTAAAACTAAGATGAAGCATGAACACTGCTTGTATATTGACTGATATACTGAAGTCATTTAAGGGTAAAATAGTTTGATTAATCATGATTGTAGTTAATTATTGCAATAATTAACTAATTTGATAATCTGTTAATCATTAGCTGGATCATACAGACTCTAAAATATAACATTTGCTGAAAAAGACCAACTTACAGCTCTAAATAATTGAAACTGTTAAAAAAATAACTAGATTTTTGCATTTAATATGAAGTTAAAGCCTCGGTTTAAAAATATTTATAACAACAAAGCAGGGTAATGTCACCTCTAAATGAAAGTGGCTTTAAGAGCAGGTTTTCCTATAAATCTGTAGAGACATTGCAGAACCATCCATCAGAGGAGTTTGATTGTGGTATTTTTCAGGAATAACATTATTCCCTTTGATGTAGACAAAACTCTGTTTTAAAAATCCATTCGAATGCAAAATGCAGGAGATACAGGTGCTGGTCATAAAATTAGAATATCATGAAAAAGTAGATTGATTTCAGTAATTCAATTTAAAAAGTGAAACTTGTATATTATATTCATACATTACATACAAACTCATATATTTCAGATGTTTATTTTGTTTAATTTTGATGATTACAAATGACAACAAATGAAAATCTCAAATTCATCATATCAGAAAATTAGAATATTACTGAAGACCAATAAAAACAAAGGATTTATAGAAATGTTGGCCAACTGAAAAGTATGAACATGAAAAGTATGAGCATGTACAGCACTCAGTATTTAGTTGGGCCTCCTTTGGCCTGTATTACTGCAGCAATGCGGCGTGGCATGGAGTCGATCAGTCTGTGGCACTGCTCAGGTGTTATGATAGCCCAGGTTGCTCTAATAGTGGCTTTTAGCTCTTCTGAATTGTTGGGTCTGGTGTATTGCATCTTCTTCTTCACAATACCCCATAGATTTTCTATGGGGTTAAGGTCAGGAGAGTTTGCTGGCCAATTAAGAACAGGGATACCATGGTCCTTCAACCAGGTACTGGTAGCTTTGGCAC